TGAGATCTTAATGATTTTGATGTATTCATTTATTTTTTAATTAAAAAAAATATATATTAATTTATAAAGAATTTAAAGAACATTTTTATATGGAATATAATGAATTAAATAAAATTATATTATATAATATATTTAAAAGAATTTGATAAAAAATAATATCAAATTTAAAATTTCAATTTCATATAAATGATTTATATAAAATATATAAAATTTTAAAACTTAAATATAAATTACAAAAAATAATATTTAAAATTTGAAGAATAAAATTAATAGCAGAATAAGAAAGATAAAATTATAATAATATAATTAATAAAGCTAAACAAAGTTCTACTATTATAATATATATTATGATTTGATGTAATATTTATCTATATTATATTTATTTCAATAAGTTAGTTCATTTTATTTCAAATTTTCTTTTATAATATATTTATTTAGCACTTGTAAAACTAATAATAGATAAAATTATCAATTAAATTTTATTATTAGAGAAAATAAACTTTTAGAAGATATATCAAAAAGGTGAATATAATATTAAATATGGTATATAAATTTCTTTAAAAAATTAGACATTTAGAAAAAAAATATTTATATATTAATTATGATAATTATATAGGACAAATAAAAAAATTTATTATTTTGATTTTGATTTTGATTAGTAATAGTTAATATAAAAAAATTATAATAAATTTTATGATACCTAGTTATATTAAATATATATGATATTTTTTTTAATTATATTAAAAAAATAAAAATCAAATATTAATGATATTAAATTAATTATAAATAATTTATCAGTAGAAAATAAAGTAATTTTATATAATAATAATATAGGTTAGACTTGATATAATTTTAAAATTATTTTATAAAACTTTCTAATTTATTATTTTATTTTAATAGTTTATTAAATGATATTGGTAAAGTTTATATATCAAAAAAATTAAATAATAAAGAAATTTATTTTAAATTATTAAATAGTGATAGTTTAATAAATACAAGTAATTTTAATATAACTTTATTGCATTAATAATAAAAGAAAGATAAAAATACTTGTATTTTAAAATTTAGTAATATGTAAATAAATTGTACAAAAATATATATTGTTCAAATCTAAAAATTATAATAAATAAAATTATTTAAAATAAATTAAATTGCTAATCACTCATTTTTATTTTCTTCTTGATTTGTATTTTATTTTATATATCATACTTTTATCATAATAAAGATTATATAGAACTACTACATTTTAAAAAAAAAAAGATTACTTATTCTTAAATGATTAGTAATCTTAGTTTATTTAATAATAATTAAGCTTTTATACAGGTTATACTATAATAGTCACAGGTTTAGGTCTCAGCTGTGACATAAAACTAGATAATTTTCTTATGAATTTTATATATAATTGAATATATGAGCATATATACTAATATATATTTGTAACTGATTAATCGATCTATTAATAAGTATTGATCATATCTAAATACTAGATTTTAAGAATATATAAATATAAATAAAACTAGAAATCGATAGAATCTTGACCTTTACTGATAGGTTTATAATAGATACTGTCTTATATTTTAAAATTCAGGAGTCCTTACAAAAGTAAGAAAGTGGTTAACTAGTAATTAGTAGATTAGATACTACCTTTAAGTAGTTATAGTAATAATAGATTGCATTGCACTATTATAGCATCATCTAATTGAATTATCATTAAAGTTAGAAATTAAGTTGTGAATTTGAAAATATGGATATGACAGCTATTTACCTTTCTGAGATTCTATAAGAATGATAATATCTAAGCCTTCTCAGTTATATATAATATATTCTGATATTAGGCAGAAATAATAATAATTCTGATTGATATTGATAAACGCAGAAAAAATAATGTAAGTATCTGTAGCTAAAAGTGATCACTCTATCCAAATTTAACAGTAGTTTTGAGGTCTAAAAATTCTAAATTTAGAAGTATTGTTTAGATGGCAAATCTTAACCAGTATTAAATAGCAAGTTCTAGTTAGCAATATCTAATCATAATCTCAAGAGTCTAAAGATTAGCATTAGGTTATTTTGTAGTCTTAAACATGTATATAATCACTAGTAAAATTTCTAGTATTTTGGGTACTGCAACTATCAAAAAAAAAAGATTACTCATTTTTAATATTAGATTAATATAAAATAAAATTTTAATTAATTAAAGTTTATATATTATATTTTAAAATAAAGTAAAAATCTTAATTTTGATTAAAATGTTTCAAAACTCTATTTTTTTAGATTATAACCTATATTTTTAATATTTAAATTAATGTATTTATTTATAAATATATTATTTAAATAATAATAAATATATCAAGTAGATAATATAAAAATATGTAGTATATAAAAATTTATTTAATTTTTTTAATAAGATTTTAAATATATTTTATTTAAAATAAATTTTTTTTTTTATATTTATTGTAAATATTTTTTAAAATATAAAAAAATATATATATTTATTTATATTTTAATTAATTTAAAAACATATTAAAACTTTATATTTATATTATTGTAAAATAATACTATAGTAACTATTATATCAAATAATCTTTTAATATTTAACATTAAAATAAAAATTTTTTTATTCATTTTTTATTAAAATATATTTAAATAATATATTAAAACTTTTTCAGCAAAATAAATTCAAATATAATGCATTATTTATACTTTATAGAAGATTTCAAAATATATTAAAAAGGATTAAATTTGAGTTTGCATTGAATTAGCCAAAAAATAACATAAATCTTTGCTTTTATAGATAATTTTTGATAATGCGATTAGGATTTATTACTTATTATAGTAATTGACTAACATTATTATAATTCTGGCTCTAAAATTTTGTATACAGTTGATAATAAATCTTTTAGCTCTACCTAATCTTAATATATATATTTTGAGATTCTCTTTATAGTTTTTTTTTAATAATGGTCATTATTGTCATATTTTTGTAATATTCTATTAATTTTTCTATTTTTATATTTTTATACTAAATATAATTAATATCTAATAGATAACCTTTTTATGTTTTTTTTTTTAGGATTTAAAAGTATAAACACTTTATTTTATTATTATTATCATCATCTTTAGACAATTTATTAGTTTACTTAGTAAAATTTTGCAAATATTTCAATAAGTTTTTGTGATTTTGTTAATTAGTAGGGGTTTATTAAAAGTTCTTTTTTAAATATTTAATGCAATTTTCCATAAAGTATTTATTGCTAAAATACAGTAAGACTATCTTTAAAAAAACTTTTTAATTTTTGATTAGGTAAGTTATGAGAATGATTGATTCTTATTATGTAGATATGCTTTCTTTTTACAATACTATCAAAGTTAAAATAATTAGGATTCAAAGATTTGAAAAGTATTTAGAGATTATTGGATATTTAAATATAAAAAATATAAAAAATTTATTTGAACAATACTTTATTGTGTTTCAAAATAAAAAATTGAAATGTTTAATAAATTAATAAAAAGTATTAGTAAAAAGTATAAAAAAGTTAAATCGAAAGTTATTTTTTATGTGAGAAAAGTCATAGGATTAATAATTCAGATTCAAATCATATCAGTCCTTATTAGAGGCCGGGTAAGGTACCAGCCCAGCCCGGATTTTTTTTATAATTTTGGCAAAAATCATTATTTAATTAAAATTTAGCCGCCACTGATTGTATAATAAAATATTTTTTTGTTGTTAATCAATATCATATTGTTTGTAAACAGTAGTAGCATTTTGGTATTACATATTAATCTTTTTTGTTTATTTATTATAATAATAATTTGTTAAAAAATTTTTTTAAAAAAAAAAATACATATTGTTATTTTTAAATAAAATAAATTGTTAAATTTCGCATCACCAAAAATTATAATTAAGTCCGGGCCGGGTTCAAAATTTGGACTTATGCAGTCTCTAGTCCTTATGATAAAAAATCATTTATGAACAAACGTTGGAAATATATATATATATATTTTTGTTAAAGATTATCGTCTAGTGAAACTTGATATTGCAAACAAATTATTTATAATTAATTAATTTTTTCAAAGAAAAAAGAATCGTTCTATATATTTTTTTTAAAAAATAAAATCAATGATCTCATAGAATAAGTCACTAATACAGCAAATGTTACTAATGTTTCATAGAAACAAAGTATTGCCTTTAAGAAAAAGTAAGAATACTATCATAATTTTTGTCTTTTTCAGGATATTATACTAAATACACCCCAACATGTTTTAACAAGTATAGTGGGTATTAGCACGTGTAAATTCATTACTGTTGATTCATAGCCAACCTGAACATGATATAATCGATAAAGTAATTGATTTCTCCAATCTCTCTCATGAGCATAATTAAAGTATATACATGACCATTTTTCCTCCATTTATTTATATGTATAAACATTTGTATATTTTATTCATTTCCAAATTCTAAAAATGTTCTGTTGATAACTAGCTCTCATACCTGTTTCCTTGAGATCACTCAAAGGGGCTTGGGTGTGCCTCGCCCCTTCCGCAAAGAAGCTCGTTCTCTTGTTAATATTTAATTTTATCGTAATACTTTCATAAAGTTTTCTAACATTAATATTAGAAGAAAGAACTTCTTATGAATTTTTGTAGCGCGTCGAATTATTGCTTGTAAAAAAGTATAAAAAAGTAAGGAAAATAAAAATATCATGTCGTTCTTTCTGTGATTATTAGTGATCGACAAATTATTATTATCCATATCTTGTATGATTTGTATAAAAAGGGGTGTTTTATAATTGATTCGATTTATGGAGTACTTTTATCCCAATAAACAACAATAATAGGGCTAACACAATGTGCTTTAATTATTATATCATATTAATTATTTATTGATTTAATTGAACGTTTTTTTGAACAAAGGTTACAATATTTAGGCCTATATAAAGCTCACTTTTTTTCTATAATCGACCATCCAGAGGAAAAAAAAATAACACCGTTTTCATTTGAAAATGAGGCTAAATTCATGTATTTTTATTGTTATAACATGTGCCTTGTTAGCCAACAATACGAATGCTCATAAAGATGATTTGGTTGAACCTATTGATAAACCTTTCGTAGAAAAGTATAAATCCAAAGAATTAGATTTCTTAACCTTTGGTGATTGGAGTTATGCGAAGGTTGAAGAAGGACAAGAGGTTGGAAATCAAACCAAAGTTGCTAATGTTATGATGAAATGGGGTGAATCTTATCATAGTGATTTTGTTTTAAGCGTTGGCGGTAAGTATGCTGTTTCATGGATTTGGGATTCACATGTATAATCTGCTTATTCATTTTTTTTTTTTTTTTTTTGTTCTTAGATAACTTTTATAAGAGTTTTGATGAAGATCACGAAGGAGTTTTAAGTGTGCATGATGAAAAATGGAATACCACCTGGAAAGATGTATATAAAGGCAGATTAGCCGAGATTCCTTGGTACATTATAGGTGGAAATCATGATTGGTAAGTAATATTTGGTTGCTTAAAACTCGAAATAAAATTGAAGAACTCATGAATATTAAATTATTTAGGTACGGCAATATCACGGCTCAGATTGATTATAGCTTGAATAATGATTCTCGTTTCTTCTTCCCATCAACGTTTTATGTTCGTGAATCGTACTTTGGGGGATCACATGAAACAAAAGTCGCATGGATCCATATCGATACGGATATTTTCTATTATGATCCAAAGGAACTAAATGACACAGAAAGGTTGCATATGAAGCAAAATTTTGAAAAGTTTGGATGGGATAATATGCAAACAATCGAAGATAAATTAAAATGGATTGAAGATAAATTAATTGAACAACGGAAAACCAAATGGATTTTCGTCGTTGGTAAGTAAATTTAACTTTTTTTTTTTTGAAGATTCATTCCTCTCTCAAATAATTTAAACTTATCAATTATTCTAGGACATCATCCTCTTATTGGTAAATGCCTAGATCATTATCAGATGAAAAAGCTGAGATCGCTTTTTGAAAAATATCGCGTAGCTGCTTATTTCGCAGGTCATAATCATGTTTTAGAATTGGAAACAACGAAGTTCAATCAACCTGTTACATATTTCATCTCAGGAGCTGGCAGTAGAACGGATGTGGGGTGTGAAGGAAAGGATTGGGGCATGCCAGAAGGTACATTGGGATTCTTACATTCCGTTTTAAGAGATGATGAAATGCTTTATGAATTTATTGACACTACAACTCAAGACTTTAAAGTAGTTTACCAAGGAACGGTTTTACCTAGACTTATGTAAGATAAAAAAAAATAAAGTTATACGTCCTAAATCTTATTATTTTGTGTCCAGTGAGAATAAGTAAATGTAAAAAAAAAAAAAAATCCAAACATTAATATTTAAAATTCCCAGATCTTTTAATTTTGTATTGGTGAACTTTCCATCTATAAAACAATAGACTAATAATGATATTAGCTTTGAAAGGGCAAAAATAAAGTTAAAGTTGAATTTTATGCAAAATAAAATAGATTTAAATAAAAACAAAAATTTTCATATTTAAAAGATCCGATTATAAAGTAAAAGTACCGCAACATTGAATGAAAGTTACTTCCGAATAACTTGACCTCCCCTTGGAGATAGAATGATGAGAAAGTTATTTCAACATTTTAAAAGTCAAACTTAGTGAACGTTCAAAAGACATATTCCTCTATGCTGAACCACTCATTAAATTCTTTGTTGGACATGCGCAAAGTTCTGACACTCGCGAATATGATAAATTATAATTCTAAATTAATCATTGGACTTTGTTGCAGATATCAATGAGAAGACTTTTAAGGGCAGAAGGGGAAGACTATATTGATATTGAACTACTATTATAAAGATCGCGAATTATTATTATTATTATTGTCCGAGTGCACAATTCCTCAGACACCAGAATATCCAACTGATGCGCCATCTTGCGCTTGCACAAGCAATGACTCCTTGATAAATCATTAATAAGTTCATTATTTCATTGAACAGCGTCAGGATTTGGCATTCTTCATAAGGAAGGCCTAATTCCAAAAGGTAATCTTTGACACGTATCGGAATTAACAAAAGTTAAAATTGATTAAAAATTGATCTTCCAATATTTTATTGAATTTTTGTCTAAAGCGCAATCATTTATTTTAATACATGGGATGAAATTTAAATGCTTAATATATTTTTGAAACAATTTTTCAGTAAAGCGAAACTAAAATGGACAGTCGCCAATATGGACTGAGGTGTTGATAAAATGAAGATCGTGAATATGAAGGATTTGAACGAAGTTAATGGTCCAGTTTTTATTTATATCTTGTCCGAGTAAAAGAGAAAAAGTCATTTAGTTAATCAGTTTACGGCAATCCTCGTAAAAAAAGAAAATGATAAATATAGAATGTTTCACTTCAAGAATTTAGTATCATTTATGACGGAAGAGTTGATTTGAAGGAAAAATTTGAAAGGATTAAATTAATTTAAATTTTATAAATATTTATTAATAGAACTTTTTACTTTGGAAAAAATTTTTCTATCTAATCTTTTTTTTTTTTTCCCCCTTTTATATATATATATATATTAAAAAAAAAAAAAAATTCACCAATTTTTCAAATCATATTTTGGAATGATAAAAACGTCAAAATTTTCTCTTAATTCTTTGAACCTTTGCTGATGATTATTTCTCAAACAATTCAATCCCAAAAATCTTAACGAATTCGTCTGCTTTGTATAATTAATAATGTGTTCGAGATCCGAATCGTTATATTCTATCGGTTGATTAATTATTATCGTTTCTAGTGATGCTTTACAATTTTTTAGTAGATGATGAAATTGATCTATACCAAAAACTTTGTTCGGCTTATATAATTGACCAATATTAAGATATTTTAACGTAGGAGGTAAATGAGTTCCCAATGAATCATAAAAATCATCGGTTCCACTATCAACTCCCAAAACCATGTCCGTTAAAGTTAATTTCTCTAAAAAATTTAAATTATCTAATAAATTAAATAAATTACCCGACTCTTGAGATTTTAATTCGTTGCAGTGAAATTCAACAATATTTGAACAACTTTTTAAAATGGTTTGACATATATTTTTAAATAATGTGTTTAGGTAAAGGGATCGTAGATTATCATTTCCAAATTTCTGGATCAGTAATTTCGTATGATATAAAAGTTCTAAATGCAATTTCTTCAGATTAAATTTTGTTTTTGTTGAAGAGATTATAGAGAGTGAACATTTGCAATCCGAAATTACGAGAGTTTCTAAATTAACACATCCTGATAAGATCTCATAGATGGCATCATTGATCAAGACTCTACAAAGGAAGAGGGAAGAAAGGTTATTCGTCTGCGATTTCAAAGCGAGTAAAATAATTTCTTCCCTATAAATCAGATCCTTTGATCCATAATATTTGAAATTTTGAAGATTTGGTATAGCGATGATAATATCCTTCATCGCTAGGTTTACTTGCGTTGAATCACATTGTCTGAAATCCAAATCTCGAATATCATGACAAACGGTTGGAAGAAATTGTAAAAGATCCAATGTGTTTCTACTACATTCTCTGTACCGATAAGTATATTCATCCGAGAAAAAACATGAAAATTTATTGATCCTTGATAAATAAGGGGATTTTGAAAAAATTGTATAATCTGGCATGTCCTCACAATAAATAGAAAAGGTATCTAATTTCGAACATTTTCTCATTAAAAGGTTAGATAATGCCTTCGTAATTTCAAACGCCTTTGGATTATGTGAAGATGATGCTAATTCATCCTTGATTTTAATCCACAGTTCCGCTGCCCACTTTAATCGATGATACCTAAATTCCGTCAAATAACTGGCATAGTCGAATAAAGGTTGTGGTAAATCCGGAAGAACTACAACTTGATCATCTATTAATAACTTATCCACATCTTCTAAACATGAAATATACGTTCGAATGAGTTTGTAATGTTTAGAAGCGGTGCTTAAAGGTCTAGCCCATAAATATGACATGGCATTTCTACACCAAGAACGATTTACGAGAATACATGTGTGTAAACAACGGGTGTCATTTGATATATTTTGAAATATCATACGAAGGCATTCGGTTGGTAAAGGTACGGAACGAACTGGTGGCATTTTTGTAAAAAAAACGATTTTTTTTTTTTTTTTTTTTTTTTTTTTTTTTTTTTTTTCAAGGAGGATGGGGTGACTTTATATGTTGCTTACCCATTTTTGTTGCATTATTTATGTAGAATCATTGAATCATTTCCTAAATGGGAAAGTTCAAAATTTAATGAATTCCCGAGTGATGCAACACTACATTACACTTGTCGATCATTTCTTGGGCTCGGATGAAACCGCCGCAAAAACCAAACTAACCAAATAATAATGGATCATTATTTAAAATAATAATTGTGTAAATTTTTTTTGTGAATCCCGCAGCACTTCAAAAAGTATTTATGGCGTCAATACATATGAATATGCAAACATTTGTTCGTGGCATTTCGGCAAGTAGCGAAATAATCGATTGAAAAAAAAAACAAAAATCATTCCGATCAATATCACAAAAGGTAAAAATTACCTTTATTGATAAGCTAATTAGTCGTATCACTAGAAACTTCTCAATTTTATGGTTAAACAAATCATGTGAATGTCAAATTAAATTAAAATTGCAATTGTTGTCAAAATTTGAGTATTATTAAATTAATCTTGGTAGAATTTGCAACCATCAATAGAATATCTCTAATCTAATTCTAATTAGTTCTCGATTTAATGTTTTAAAATGTATATGTATGCCTACTTTTTTGCGCGTGTTAGCATAAATATTTGAATTTAAAAATCAATTTTCATTATTTGCAAGCATTTGAATTCCCTTTTTTTTCAGTCTGATCTGATTTAAAAAAAAAAAAGAAAAAGAATTATAATATTATAAACAAGTCTATATTAGTGAGGGCAAAACCCTATATTTCGACGGTTCAGTCGATACTATATATTAAAAACCTTTTCGAAGGAACATAAGGTTTGCTAAAATGAGATTTTACCATATATAGGAACCCCATGTTTACGACCATTGATTATTACCCGTTTGGATATAAAGATATAAAAAAGTAAATTATTATTTATTTACACAACGTATATGCATATGCACTTACCTAAATAAGAAATCATTTAAATATGATATGTTTTTACAAGAATTGTCTTTCGTTTCCGTCTACTCGTAAATACAAAATATTTTATTCTTTCTAATAAGTATTTCATTAAGTTCAACCATGACTGCACCAATGGACATAAAGCTGATGCTCCGATCATAAACATATTCATTACACGAACAAACTTTATTATTTATTTAATCGGAACAAACGATGAATTTGAAAGGAGTATCTCCTTTTTTGTATATTGTGAAAAGATAATTTGATCTTAGGTTGTAAAAGAAGTGAGGCATCTATATCATTAACTATATCGAGAACCTTCAAGACACATGTAAGGTCTAAATCTGAGCATAATATTGAGCTAGTATATATCATTGAGCCAATATTATTCAAATCGTCTAAGAGAATAAGAATTAGTTCAAGTTCGTCATTCCGAAACCTTTCCAGGGTTAGTCTTCTCTGTAGATGATAAATTTCTCATTTTATTTGATTGATTTAGTAGGTTATTTGTTAGAGCACAAAGATATTGTTAATTTTAAAAGATATAATTCCGCTGAAATACACTTAAAGTCAACGGGAAAAACTTTTTTTTTTGGCATGACTAATAAACGCTTTATTATTATGGAACATTTTAGGGATTGTCCCGTCCCATTTACACCATGTTTTATGTCTAGTAGCGATGATAGTTCCTTTACTATGACTTCTTTCTAAAAAAAAATTAAAAGAAATTTCTGCATATCATTTTATTAGTATTAAGAATGAGAATTGGTTGTAAAAATGAAACGGGAGAGCAAGGAGAAGAAACAGAATAGGGAGAGGAAATAGAAGAAAAGTAGTTCCCAAATGAAAATGCGCAAATATTTCGAAATTTTAAACAATTCTCAACAATAAATTTTTACACATAATTAAAAAAAACTAAATTTATTATTAATTTTGTAAGGATAATTAAGGATAATAATTTAAGGATATCGTGCTCTATAAATAATATTAATACATATGGATATAATTAATTACAATTTTTTTTTTTTTTTAATAATAAGGATTTTTTTCCCTTCCTTCTAAAAATACGAGGTTTGGCTTTGATGAGTTTGAAGATGCAGTCTCAAAAATACTTTTGTCTTTTAATCCACCGAAACTTTTTTCATCCATACCAATTAAAGTACTACGACCGGAAGTTATTTCCTCCTTTTGATCTCTGAATTTATGTAAAGCATTATATACTCTTCCAATAATATTAACTGTTAAGTTTAGACATGATGACAAAAGTGTTAATAAAGGTATAATATTATAATGAACTACATCAAAGTTATAAATAATCTATTAGAAATAAAAAAAAAAAAGTTTTAGGTTAAGTTTTGATATTTGATGTGACATTATCAATTAAAAATCATTTAAAATACAAACTGACATACCTGAACGACTACTTGAGGGATATCTTCAATAAAAATATTAAGGCAAGCTCCCCAAAATATTATATTTGATGCCGAATTAGAAAACTTTGCGTTAAAAATTTCGTAACCCGCAAATTTTGATTCAAGTACATTTAAAATTTCGATATCGGCTCCCGCTAATAATGTGAAGATTGCTACAACTTTTGTGTTATTTTTTGACCATTTGGAAAATTCTTCGGTAAGATTTTCTCGTGTTATAATTGTAAATGCCAATCCTAAACTTGTAATAAATGGAACTATCACAATTACAATACTTAAAAGGAAAAGATATAATGTGAATAATTTTTTTTTTTTTTTTAAAAAAAAAAACTAATAAAAAAAGAATTTATTGAAGTTAGGAATTTACCTTGGAATGAATAGTCTATCAATGGCACGAGCGTTTGTACTAACAAAAAGAATATCCATAAGAAAATCAAACATGATAATACCAAATTGTAAAATTACAATGTTCCTCCCCTAATGAAAATATTAAATTATTAGAAAATTATGATATCAATAGTTTTAAAAATTACTGTCATGAAATTTTACCTCATTATTTTTGCGTTTAGCCCACATGTAAATTATAACAAATACACACATGGCCGCAAATACTGCAAAAAAATATAGACCATAATCCATAAAAAAGTTGGCTATTTTACAAAAATTCAAAATGTTAATTAAAATGATACGCATAAAACATTAAAGGAACGAAAGTGAAAGGATGAATCCTTACAAGAGGTTTTGTATCCAAATTCTTGATCTAAATACTTTGTATATTTGCCAGATGAAATCAAAGTGATATATTTATTCTTAATCAAAGTATCTAAATCATTTTTGGCCGAATTAACGGTTATTGCTTGCTTATTTTTTTCTCTTTCAATATTAATAGATAAAATGATTTGCTTCGGGGAGACTGTGGTGTCGGTTTCAACTCTACCATTGGTAGTTATGCGATCAGGGCTAATGGGAATCGCATATGCTATTTCTTGCCTTAACTTCTTGTAAAAATCATCGCGATCCGCATTATCAAGTTTATCAAAATAATTAGTCCCATCTGTGGTTAATCGAACCATTCCTGTAGCTTTAACTGAATTCTTTTCTTCGTTCGGTACTAATTAGAAATTGTGTGATGTGAGTATTTGATTTCATAAAATGATGAGGAATTTATAAAGCGCTTACGTGTTGTAAATGACCAAACGCGATCACGTATACCATATAGAGGTTCTTGGTATGTTCGACTCTTTACAAAGTTATTATCAATTGTAACAAAATATTTTCCCGTAGGATGATTGAATGTGCTTTTAATTATTTTGACATAAACTGTAATTCCATCTGCATCAAGGCTTACACGTTCGTTGAATCCAGATGTGAATTGACGTATAATTTCACGACCAGAATCATCGATTTGAAAAATAGTAATGTTTCCAATTGATAAATCTATTTGATCAAAATATTTGATTGTAAGTGAATCCGTCTCAACTGAGATCGTTTCATTAATCGCCGGTGACGTGGTGTTTATATGGAAATTGGTATATCCATGATCTAAGAATATTTAAAGTTCGCTTAAATAAAAAAAAAATAGGTACTTTCACGTTCGTGTACTGCGTTACGTTACCTTTTTCCCCAGCAAATTGATACAAATCGGTCGTGATCAAAGTCCAACTTTGGTCTTGCTCCTTTTGAGCAAGCACAAGAGTATTATTTGGTAAAACTTTAGAAGAACCAAATACGTTTGTAATGGTAGGATTTTGAAGGTTCCAGGAATAAACTTCACCGTTATTAATTATATAACCATACATAATTGCATCATTGTCTTCATTTTTTTTTAATCCAGTTAATAAAAAACCCCCGTATCGTAAAGATCTAACATAATATTCATCAATTCCTGGAATCGTTGGAATGGGTCCATTTAATGATTTACCATTATATGAGGTTCCTGATGTAAGAAACTCAACTTTAACATAAGACGTCGTATTGAGATTATTTTTTACGGTCAACACACAAGTTTGTCCCATTCCCAAGTAGGCAATATCACAATCAAGCGATGTAAACCTTACTCCGGGAATTTGAGTTTGAAAGAGAATAGCTGGTTTTCGATTAGTCGGTTGACCATATGTTAGGAATAGGGCATAAATCGCTCCCTGAGGAAGAAAAGGATCCTCCTGATAGATATCCGTTGAATTGGCAAAAACAACCGCGTATCCTCCGTCAATGGTCGCGATGGCTTTAACTTGATGCGACATGTTATCAAAACTTATATCATCTTCTGCAAGCTTTTGAATTTCCTTATTTTCAGTTCTTCATTTTATTTTTTTTAAAAAAAAAAAAAAAAAAAAAAAAAGAGGAGAAAGGTCATGAATTAATCATAAGTTGAGCCTTTTAAGATTTATATGATAAATGATAAATTACATTATGAATTGCTGACAGATAATATTAGAGGTATTTGTCGCGGTTCCTACACGGAGGAAACCCTTATTATGATCAACATTTATGGTAATTGAAGCTTGATTTGGCCACCATGAGTTTGTAGCAGGGTCAACAAAAGCAGGTCCCAGTAAAGCTTTACTATAAAATTTTAAAATGAAATGGTAATTATGTTTTTTTTCTTTTAAAAAAGATAAAGGTTTACATATTCGTTTAATGTAAATGCTAACCCATAAATGGTTCGATCTAAACCAACAAGCATCACCCATTCATTATAAGTAAAAACATTATGTAGATCTTCAGCTTCCGTGTAAGTTATCAACAAGAGTTTACTTGTAACAGGATAAATTTTAATAGGAGTCTTCGCGACTCCGTTTATTTGCAAGTAACAAAAGTTAAAATCTTGTATATCCAACGTCATGTCAATTTCCGTAACTTGTCCATCAGATGAAATCGTACGAAGTGACAAGTATTTATCTACGCAAATCTTTCCTTCAGATGAAGCTGATGAATTTCTACGAATTATACGAAGAATTAACGAGCCATCATCAAGTTTATCAATCGTAGTTACGCGAGGTGGATTACCATTTCCAGTTGGTGTCTCATGATATGTTATAACATTAGATTGTGAATTTATGGGAAGTGATGTAAAGAAGATGATTGATAAAAATGTTAAAAGAAATATATGATTTAAATTCATCTCGAAAGTGTGATAATGGGTTATTGGATTTATTTAACAATTCATGAATGATTATCTCTGAAAAAAAAAAAGTAAAGAAGAAGAAAAAAAAAATGACAATGAAATTTTATTCCTCAAAAAGATAGGACACCATTTCGTAGCATTTTTATATAAATATTTTTCATTAGCCCGATATGTACATGCGGATAGTATATTGTATAATGAAGGTTGGGGTGTGTTACATCTCAAAAGAATCTTTTCGGTAAAATTTAATGAAAAAAAAATTTAAAAGATAGATTAACGCTAACTTGTTTTTTACAAAGATTGATTTTCTCCGCACAGCAATTCCCAAATTAGCCAAAGATCTCGGTAACTTTGAATTAAACTTCTTTACGAACGGATTTCCGTTTTAAGTAATAATTTGCGTTTAACTGTAATTTTACGGAACCTATAGCATCGGTACGTGACAGATGAGCCATTTCCAAAAGTAATAAATAACTGTTCATGAAATATTCTTCTTTTTATAACTCCGAAATTATCTTTAGCTTTTTTTTAATTGTTTATGGCATGAAAATTTAGCAACATTGTTGTCTTTGTTGTGTAACGTAACTGAGATAATTATACATAAAAAAAATAACAATGAGTCATGCTAATATCAAATTTATCAAATTTCACAAGGGTCTTTTGAGCAACTCCATTCAATCCATATCCATTCTAGATTTATCATCCGGGTACAAAAGGTTTATGTTATGATAATAAACCTACCCGAAAAGTTAAGTCATTCCCCAAACGAATTATTTCCCAACAATTTCGTATCATTTGCGTTTAGGTAGGTAAAATACTTCCTTTTTACGAACCTCGTGAAAAATTGATCGCCATCTTTTTCAATCTTTTTTTTTTTGGCCTACCATAAATTTGACAATTAGTTCCCAATTTGACGACTTTGATCATCACCGGACAATTGGTTCCTTGGCAATGACAGTGTAACACGCTGATCTCCAATCTCTTCATAACCATAACCATAATAAACCACTCCTATAAGGTTTATATATTTTTTGTCGACGTATTTTTAGAATTGGCTGCTATTTTTAGAACAAAGAAAATGCTTTCATGACGGAAAAAATCATTATAAATAGCTGCGGATGTATTTTATTTAATTCTTGTGAGCGCGACTTGTTTCTAAAATAAAAATAATAAATAAATTAAACATGTTTGAATACCCGTTGGTAACGTTTGTAAATTCGTGAGATTATTTGGGGTTGGCCTTGTATAAAATAATCTAGGCATGTTGACATAATACACATAAATAATTAAAAACTCTCACACGGCAATGATAAACTTGTACCGCTCTGTTTAGTCAAATAATTTCTTGTCAGAATTTAAGATAATAGTTTTGGGGTTGAGGTTCTTACAAGTTTATGTTACACAAATTTAACTGCGGAACCTAAAATTCCCTTACTTGAAGCAATGTTTTAAGGATTTTGTAATCCACCTTAATTCGGGTAAATCGAATGTTTAAGTGAGAAAAAATTCAAAATTTTATTTTTTTCCCAAAACTTTTGATTTCTTAATATGGGTAAATCAACAAAATAAAATGTTTACTGAGGGAAAATTTGTTTTGAATTCAAATAGGAATTTCAAAGGAATTTACTAGACAAAATCCAATTTTAAGCAAGTGAACAAATGAGCGCCCACACCTAATTTGTAACATCGTCCCTGGTTTTTTACATTGTTTCTTTTCTTTCTTTTCCTTATAAATAATTGAATTTATCAAACGATAACAAGGGTTTACCCAAATACGGGGTGTATAAATCTAGCACAATATATTTAAAGTGATTATTTAGCGGATGGTTACCAATTTATTTATGACTGTTTATTCTTTTTTTTTTTATAAATAAACCAACCATGTACAGTACAACGATGAAGTGCCTTTACTGGCACATTTTGTGTTTGTTATTGTGGCTACTTGAATATAATTATATATATAATAAACTTGAAAGCAATTTTTCAGCTGACCCTTCTCTCCCTTCCTTTTTTTTTTTTTTTTTACTTCTTTCTTTTACATTTGATTAATATTTTTTCAAAAAAAAAAAAAAAAAAAAAATCATTTTGTTTGTTTTCTGTTTAATGACACTTTAGCTAATGGTCGTTTTATATATGAATATTTCATGGAACTATATACTCAGCCATCAATCTTTCGTATTCTAAAAGTTTTTCAACTTTTATTCGCTTTTACATGTCTAGCCTTAGGTAATTTAAAATGCTTTAAAGAAGACATGTTCTGTCCTTAAAAAAGAAAGAATTAAATTAAAATCCTTTTCTCTCTTTCATACATGCGCATACATATAGAAATAACCCAGTTTGTAGCATCTTCAAAGTATGAGCCGTTAATGTTGATACGCCTTGAGGAATTCGGGTAGCCCTTTGTTTCCTAGCATCATCTCGATTCAATTATTGAAAAATCAATTTGCAAGATTAATTTATTATCATGTATTCATTTAGAGCCTTCAGTAACCCTGGGGTAAAAATATTTTTTTACGTGGTGATCCCACTTACGATAGTTGCTGTTGGTAAATATCCTTTGTCTCTTTTGTCCTATGCTTTTGATTCGATTTATTTTAATGACATAAATTGAATTTTATTATGACAGGATGGTATTTAATATATTTCAATTTTTATTGGAGGAATCCATCAACTTATAGAGATATAGGAATAGATGGGTATATAAAAAAAATATATTGTTTTTTTCATGTCTTGTTAAGTTGAATTATTTATATATATTTTCTTTTCAAAAAAAAAAAAAAATCATTAGCTTTTTTTCTATATTATGGGTAACTGCAGGTACGTAAGGATACAATTATACAAATCCAAAATAACGGAAAACCTCTCTTTAACTTAAACCTTTTCCTTGTTTTCAGGGTTGACAAGGTTATATCCGGTGTACTACAACCTTAATCCTAAATGTCCCAAATCAGAAAATTTCGCTTACGAAAAACATTTAGTATGTAGCACGTATATAGCAAGCTTGTCAATTGGATGGGTCAACGCAGCATTATTCGTAATATCAACAATATTTTCATTTAAACTATCAAAAGAATTAGAATGGAGGGGAAACATAAATTCATTAAGTAGACGACAATCTACTTCAAGTCAATTCAGTAGGAGGAATAGCTCTCGAAGGAGTAGTACTCGAAGATCCTCAATTCGATAATAGACAATTTCAATTAGATTTTCGTATTTATTTTAATTTATAAATTTTAATTTTTTTTTTTTTTTTTTTTTTCCTTATCTCTACTATATTTTTGTAAATAATAAATTTTCTTGTTTCTCGTTTCATATGTATGTGAAACTTAAAGAAAGGAGTGTATGCGATTAATAAGCAAACCCTTACATGATTACATATTGCATCTTGTCATTTATAGTAATTTTTCTTTGTTAACTTTGGTTCCATCTCCTTCTGTGACATAGAAACAATTTACATTCCTTACAGTAAAATACAATCTTGAAATATAAATTAATTAATTTATACAATTTAAAAATATAACATGCACAAATAAAAAATTTTGATTCCGCATAAATATATTAATTAATATAAATATATTTATTTATTTATTTTATTAATGATTTAATCTTTGTTTTCTCAATTTATAAAACAGAAATAAAATGTCTGCTTACGTAACAATGCATGTCATGTGATTTTCAAAATCGGACGGATTTTAAACATTAGAAACATTATTTGGCATACAACATTATGGCTTGAACATCGAAGTGATTTCAAGAAATTAAGGGCGTCCAACGTATAGTTGCGGGGCAAAACCTTAAACCCATTTTGAGCAAATGTCGAAAGTTTTCAGAAATTATTTAGACAGTTTCGATGAGTTTCGAGTCTCGAAAGTTTCTGATAAAAACTTTGCGAAATTCGACGGGTTTTAACAGGTTTATTTTTATCGCAAATGTAGAATATAAAAACGAGGTTTTAAATTTGTAAGCACATGAATTTGTTGAAAGATTAGAAGAATTACCTTATGAAGAAGATAATGATAGAGATTGGAATCGGGTTTATTTTTTACTTCGAATATCGAACCTCTGTTTCAAACTAATAAATCCGGATTTACTTCGAATATCGAATCTCTGTTTCAAATTAATTATTTTTTTATTATCATATCGTCGCACATAAAAATAATGTAGATCAAATAAATCGCTTAATAAATTAAACATAGGGTGTGGTTGCACTTGGTTGTGACTGAAATTGACTTTCGGAATTTAACTGAACTTGGAATCTCAATTTTAGACACCCGAAGATCGTCTGAAATTCCAACTTCAGACGAAAATCAATTTCAGTCACAACACTTTTACATTCAATTAATGAGATATAAGTTTGTATTTGAAGGCTAGAACCTGTCCCCTTTTTTTTCTGTAAGGTCATACTCTACATATATAAACTGAATCATTAAATGGCTATTCTAATAACAATTTTTATACGCTAAATAAGAATTTAATGATCAAAAGATTTTTTTTTAAAAAAAAAAAAAATTACCTTTAACAGTATAATTGTCGATCAAAACCCATATACAGTATATTTTGAGTTGTACAAAAAAAAATCCCCAAAATAAAAAAGCGAACTCTATAATTACAAATATTGTTTTGTTGGCCACATCTGTTTAGTCGGCAAAGATAGACTAAGACCAAATCACTTTGTTCAACTTTAATAGCACGAAACAGCAAAATTTAATAAAATCTCAAAAGTTTCATGGGGGGTGTAATTTGCTTATATAATAAAAAAATTAGTTACTTCCATTTTAGCAAACATTAAAAATAAATGAAGATAACCAAAAATAGAAATGAAGAAAATAAAGACGTGTGATTTGATAGAGATTAGAGGGGTGTTTTGAATTTGTTTTATTAAATTTATATGAATCTTACCATATAACTGTAACAAGCAACATTTCTTTGCTAAAAAGTAGAGATTAACACGGTCAAATTTCCTAAAATAAAATTTGAATTTACCAAAACATAACTAAAGTACATTAACTAACATTTCTTAAAATTTATAGTCGGAAAATATGCAAAATACATTTTACATTATGGTCTTACAAGTCGAGATAAATTTTTATTATTTGTTGATTGCCGATAAAAAGAATAATTATTTTCTTCCAAGGTTAAATCGTTTTCTCGATTACCGGATCTTTTTTTCCGCAAATTTTATTGATAATAAGTTGAACAATTTCAATATATAGGTCACCTTTTCACACCATCATTCACTCCATTATCAACTCCAAACCATCTTTTATATTTAGATTCAGGAATGTACATTGAAAAAGTTACAAGTAAGGTACTAATGAACATTAACCACATACAAATTAGATTCGCCGTACGAATTTTACATATAGTTCGAAGCTGTGGAAATGAATATTTATAATTTGATGAACAAAGAAAAGGTACTTCACCTAATTCGTGAATTGTATAGCAAGTGTAAATAACTTTTTACAACATTGACAAAAAAAAAAAAAAACAAAAAAAATTAAAATTAATTTGAATGAATTTTTTTTTAGTTTGAAATAATAAATTGTAAATAAGGTCTTACCTGGAATAGCTATCAACAATAAAGCCGAAACACTAAAAAAAATTATTTAAAATATTTCAATTTATAAGGAAATCGAAAAAGTCTAACTTATCAAAGATTTTATAATTACCCGATTTTCCAATTTAATGATTTTATTTCGTAACAATAGCAACAATAACACATAATTATTAAGAAAGCTAATTTAATTAAAAATTATCAAAAATATGATTATGATGTTTTTGTGTTCTCATAATTATCGTTATGTACTTACAAAATTGATATGACAAAAGAACTATATATCTTGAATTACGTATGTAAATAGCAATAATTTGTTAAAACAATGATGTGATTTCTTCTTCAAATATTAGAGAATAAACTGTACTCACAAAAGTTCTATTGGCCCATTTACTGGTAATCCATATTTTTCGAATAATTTGATTTTATAATATTCTACAATATCGCCCGTAATAAAGAGATAATGTTAGCATCCTTCCTTTCCATTAATTTTCTTTTTTTTTTTTTTTAAGAAAAAAACACACACGAGAAATTCGGGCTCATACCTAATAACGGACAAACAAAAATCAACGGAAAGATCACCAAAACTAAGCATATGAAGCATAATATAAGCGTTATTTTTAAATAATTATTTTGTGTGTTTGAATGAGTATCCATAACGACCGTTTTTCTTCAATTATTTTTTAATTATTTTGTAATGTTTGTTTCGATCAGGTTATTATTATGCATATAAAGAATGAAATGATGTTATTGAAAAGGGTTTTTTTTTTTTTACCCATTTTTGTAAAGCCACTTTAATTTTTATATCCGAGATTCAAGGCTTGGCTTAAGCCTTTTAAATCTGGCATTTACAATCAACTGCGACGAGATTTGGTTAGCATCACATGATATAATGATCAATATTGCTTGACTAAGTTGTAATAAAATAAATATCTGAAAAATAGATGCTATTTTATTTTTGATATTATCGGAATGGTCAGATGCATGCTTCTGGTTTCTGTCCTCTTGGAAATGAATAATTCCATCATTCATTAAGGTGACATATTCATATAATATTTTGAAGGTAAATTCTGTATAAAAGTTTAATTTAAATTATCCGATGATCTACAATTGATTATTTCCTTTCTAATTGCAAATATTAAAGTATTCAAATGTATCAACTTCTCTTTAAAATAATTTTTAAAATAAAATACTGCAGTATATGATCTATTAGATTTTAAAAATATAATTTTAATCCAAAATTATTATTTATATAACATTTAAAAGATTTTATATTGACCAATTTACTATTTTAAAATAATTAAATAATTCAAAAATAAATTATATTAAATTTAATTATAAATATTAATATAATGTTTTATATACTTAATTATTTATTATAATTAATATCATTTAGATATTAAAATTAAATATTTATATTATATAAATTTATCCATTAAGTTTTATTATTATTATTAAATATTATAAAAAAAAAATAATAATACCTAAATAATTTTAATTATTTAATATTATTAATTAAATAAAGTCTATAATTATTTTATTAATAAAAATAAATAATTACTTTTTATTATTTATTTTTTAAAAATAAAAAATTAATAAACAAATAATAAATATTTAAATTAAAAGTAAGATCAAAAATTAAAATTATAATATTAATAATAATAAAATATTTTTTATAAAAAATAATAATTATATAAGAAAACATATATATATCACATATGTAAAATCTATCACAAGTAGTATAATCTCATAGTTATCATATTAATACCAATAATAATTTAATGATGTAATATTTAAATCATTAAATTATTACATAAAAAACTTTAATAAACTTTTATTTTTTCACGTTGTGACGGGTAAAATTTTAGATAGATTTAATTGGTAGAATAGAAAGTCAATTTTATTGCCATGTAGATCTTCTA